CATCCTGCTTGGCCATGACTCAAAGACTGCTGAGAAGATGGCATGCTCCTGTACAGTTTATGGTCCTTCAGAATATCCATCAAGCCGCTATAGTGTGCTTCCCTCATTATGAATGGCAGACAAAGGGCCAAATCCAGTGATCCTTCAGCAGACGCTGCTGCTAATGGTCACAGATCTTTCTTGCACTCCCCTCCCAATTTCACTTCCATCTGACTCTAACATGATTCCTGGGGTTTCAGAACACACATGGAACGATGTAGGTAAAAGGGCCTGAAGTATAAGGGGATGAAATTCTCCCTCCTTGCCTATTTTGCCAGGGCAGCTGTGCTTATGGGAGGGGGACGGGGCAGTTCTCTCCTTGTCTCACTCCTCAGCATAATGCCCTCCCACCTGAATAGCTATTAGTCCATGCAGGTCCTCCAGGTCTGGGAATTAACTTTCCCAAGGTCAGGAAGGACAGAGGGGGGAGGAATGCAGGACAAGAACCAGAGTCCTTGGACCTCACAAATTGCTTCATCCAGCTCAGTGAGTTCTGATAGTAAAAATAAACTTGACTAGTTTGTCCAGATAAATTCATTGGGAGAAAAGGAAGGAAAAATTAGCCACTTCTTGTAGAAATACTGTACTTCCACCTTATTGAACACATGAGGCTGCCATATGTTGAGTCAGGTCATTCATCAGTATTGCCCACATCGGTGGTGGCTCTCCAGTATCTTTCACATCACTGATTTACCTGATCCTCTATGTTTTCCCCTCAAATGGCCATGGCCCCGCCCCCAGCATGCGACGTCACATCCGGGTGACATAGATATGGCGCGCGCACCAGGAGATCGCCAGGAGTCCCCCACCGAGAAGGTAAGGAACATTTGGCAACCCTAGGGAGATCCAGGTCTGAATCCCCTGTCTGCTATGGAAGCTCGCTGGGTAGCCAAGTTGGGCCAGTCACCCACTCTCAGCCTAATCTATCTTCCAGGATAAAATGGAGAAGAGAATGATGTAAGCTGCTTTGGGTCTCCATCGTGGAGAAAGGTGAGGTATAAATGAAGTACACAAATAATAAATGTAGCTGAAGAAAGGGGACAGATAAAAGGTATGTTGGTCTGTGGGTGGGAAGGAGAGAAGGAAGTAAGAAAGGTGAGGATATGGGGACTGCCGGGAAAGGGGGAAACAGAAAATAATGTGAGGAGGGGAAAAGAGGAGAAAGTGAGGTACCCTCACAGGTCTTTGGTGTAGTGGTTAAGTGTGCGGACTCTAATCTGGGAGAACCGCGTTTGATTCCCCACTCCTCACTCGTACCTGCTGATGTGACCTTGGGTCAGTCACAAGCTCTGGCACAGCTGTCCTTGAAAAAGAGCAGTCTGTGTCAGAGTTCTCTCAGCCCCTTCTTCTTCTTCTTCTTCTTCTTCTTCTTCTTCTTCTTCTTCTTCTTCTTCTTCTTCTTCTTCTTCTTCTTCTTCTTCTTCTTCTTCTTCTTCCCCACCACGCAACTGGGCCTGCCTCAGACAGCCAACAGCACCAGACACCTGGGCCAAGCCCAGACTGGCAGATGACACTGCACAACAGAGTGTCTCCATGGAGACATTGCCAGGGAAGGGAAGGAGGGAAAGCTGAAGGGGGGGGCAGATAAAGATGGCTTGAGTGGTGGGTGAGAAGGACTGAAGGAAGCAGGAAAAGGGAAATACTGTGGGAAATAAGATGTCCCGTTCAAGTCCTTGCAGGCCCCTCAATTGTCAGTACCCTAAACAAGTAATTAATAAAGTAATTAATAAATAATTAATAAATAACACAAGTAACTAATAATTAATTAATTAACTAACTAATACATAGCCACCATGAGCCTGCTTTGGCAGGGAGGGCGAGGTATAGATCAAATAATAAATAAATAAAATCACGGTGTTGGTTTTGCAAATATCATATTAAAACTACAAACCTAAACTTGCAACAAATAGATGATTCACTAATGAATAGAGCAGAGCATGCCCCATCAGTGTACAGATGTTTAAAGTGGCCAAGCCTAATCCAACCATCTTTTTTGGAGGCGCCTTCCTGCAAAAAGAAATGAAAAGAAAAACTAAACCAGAAAACAAATAAGCAGCAAGGAACCCAGACAATACTTTCTGCCATCCAGCACCTTTACATATTAACTTGAGAACAGACTGGCAGACTCTTCGATGCTTTAATGAACTGAGATAATAGTTGCTGAGGACTCCCTTTCTGTGTATCTTTCCCCAAACACAAAAGATAAGTGCATGACCCAGGAATCTCCACAACAATGGATCTTGTGTGCATAGAATAGCCTCTCTTTAACAGACAGTGTTGCCAGCTAAAGGGATCTTTAATTATACAAACAATAGGCTGTATAGGCTTGACAGATAATTCAGCATCCGGCAAGTCTTTTATTTTTCAAACTAGGGGGAAAAAATCTGCCTTTAGGTCAGATTCAGAACAACCGGATCACAAGCCTTTAAGACCAAATACAATACGAATCTATGGCAAAAGATCAGATCCATGTTCTTACAAGCTCAACCAGTGGTCCCATCGTGACACAGGTCAGATATGCACAAACAGATGTTAAAATATCCTTTTGTGACAGATGCAGACTGCCAATGGGGGAAGTTGCAGAATTAAAGACTTCCCCCCCTAGTAAGAATAATTCCCTGAAACACTAAATGTCATGGAGAAGACTTCTAGCAATGGGGTTGGATTCAGCCAGCTTTCCTGTTGGTGAAAAAGGGAAGAGCTGATCCCTTTGACCACCCAAAATTGCTGTGCATGGGAACATGGGACCTGCATGGATAAAACCTGTGTAGGATGGGGCTGTAGTAAAGAGATGACTGCATGAAAAATTTAGCTGAATCTAACCCCCTGTGGATCAAGTCTAGTACAAGGAATGTTGATTTAACTTTTCCCTGCAGTCTTTCTCATTGAAATCGACCACTCTGTGAGAAAAGTGGATAAAGTTTTGATCCATCATCTCATATGGTGGTATGCTGATTACAGTGTCAGACCAGGATTTGGGGACCCAGGGTCAACCCCCCACTTGGCCATGGAAGCTTGCTGGGTAACTTTGGGGCCAGTCTCGTATTCTTAGCCTAACCTACCTCACAGGGTTGTTGTGACAATACAATGGGAGAAAGATTATGGAAGCCCATTTGGCCCCCATTGAGAAGAAATGTGGGACATAAATTAAGAAAAACAACCCTTGAACATTCATAGTGTAGTCCTATTCTGAGTCAGCCAAACTGATGAGCAGTAGATTCAGGACACAACCCTTGTTCACACAACGCCTCATTTAATGTCACAAGATGGTTCTAAGAACATAAGAGGTGTTCCACTAGACCAGACCAATGGTCCATTGAATCCAGCCAGCATCCTGTATCACACAGCAGTCAACCACCTGCCCTGGAGAGTCAACAAACAGGGGAGAGAGGCTAAAGCCTTCCCATGGTGCTGCCTCTGAGCTGATTCAGAGGTGTACTACCTTTGAATGAGGCAGTTCTCTTTAGTTACCATGGCTAGTAGCCACTGATGGACCCTTCCTGTCAGAGGATGTAGTGAATCATGGCCACGGGTGTACACAGTTTTAAAAGGGGATTAGACAGATTTGTGGAGGATGGGTCTATCGTCATTGTGACTGAAGGGAGCCTCCATGTTCAGATGGAGCAGTAAACCCAGGCCCATAGCTGCAGTGGGGCATCTTGGGGCTGGGCACCCCAACTCACCACCCAGGCCTCCCGACTTCCCATCCAGCCAGTTAATTTTATTTTTTCCCCACACGTGCCATGGCCACACTGAGCCTAGCCGTTGCCCTGCCCGCCAGCACCCTCACCCCTCGCCTCTCTCTTTCACTCGTCACTTTTAAAAAACTTTTACTCTCTTGTCGCTCCTGACACAGCCTGGGTGTGTGTGCAAGGGTGCCCCCGACTTATGTAAATGCCCCCCCCCCAAAGTAAAAAATCCTGGCTATGTCCCTGAGTAAACCCCTGAATACTAGGAGGTAACATTAAGGGTAGGCCTCAGCCCCCACGTCCTGTTGTTGGACCTCCAAAGGAACTGGTTGGCCACTGGGTGAGACAGGAATGCTGGACTAGATGGACCACTGGTCTGATCCAGCAGGGCTCTTCTTATGTTCTTATGCCATGAAATCTACCTAATCTCCTTTTAAAGCCCTCCTCGATAGTGGACATCAGTACCTCCAACCAATGTTCCCTCTAAGCTATGGAGCCCTGTGAGCAAAAATTCTATTTTGTGAGCTACTGGCATTAAAGTTGTGAGCAGGAGTTTTGGCTGCTGCATAAATTAGTTTGCTCTGGAGCCATCCCTTCCTGAGCTAAGGCAAAAATGTGTGAGCCAGAGGGTAAAAAACTGTGAGCTGGCTCACACTAACTCAGCGTAGAGGGAACACTGCCTCCAACAGTGGCAAATTCCACAACTTAATGACTTCTTGAGTAAATAAATACTTCTTTTTGTCCAGCCAGAACCTGTTGCCCATTGAACTTCAAGGACTGTCATTGAGACCTAGCATTACATATGAAAGAGGGGGGGGGAAATGTCTCCTGTCCACGTTCTCATCTATTAGACAAATCTATGGAGAATTTGCCTGTTGGGAGTGGAGGGAGCAGGGGTGTTGGCTTCACGCTGTGCTGGGGAGAGGGCTTAAATCCTAGATCTGATCCAAGAAATAATGTTTGTGTTTACTCAAGTCTGCAGAGATTTCATCCATGCACGCAACTGTTTTGCCTTGCCCGGCGACTTGAGTTTCCGCTTCTTCTGCGCACTCCGTATCACCCCTCTCCCCCCCACCTTCTCGTTGCTGTTGTTCAGTTGCACAGTCGAGTCCGACTCTTCCCGTTAAGCTCCGCGAAAGGTCACAGGTCTCGAAATAGCGCACGATGGCAGGAAT